TTGCTAAGTTTCTCTGGACTTTAGTAATAAGGGGATTTAATGAAATTCATACCTTAATGCAAGAAAATGTTGTAGGCTTCCCTAAGCCAAAAAAGAGAGAAAAGTCCCATCGTTCCACCCTGCCCCTAAATTCTTTATAGTGATTAAAATATACTATTCAGCTTCATAAAACAGTCCTTTGGACTATAAAGAAAATAAAATTTTGTTCAACCATGTTATATATATATTATGTATACTGAAGTTTTAGTTGGTTTTTAAAGTTACATATTTGGTTTTCTTTACCTTTATTGATTTCTCTTCATTTTTACTTCTTTCATGAAGCAGCTCGATGCTTGGTTCTTTTTCTAGTAACAAGCACTTTGGCACTTGCCTTGTCTCAAAAGTTTTGCTTTTACTGACAGTCTCTACATCAGAATCTTCGATCACGTCTGATATATTCTTTTGTGTGAGTCCCAGTAATGGCTTGTTTTCCACAGTCAGTTTTCTAAGACAGGGCTTTTTTCTACTAACAAAAAATGCCGCTCCACCCTGGAGTGTAACTTGTGGTTTGACTTTTTGGCTTAGAACCCGAGGAGCATTCAGATTATTTTGAGCTGAATAATAATTATTCTCTTTCTCTACAATGGGCTTATAGGCCACTCGATTTTGCTTGGGATTTTTAGAATTCTTTGATAGAGGCTTGATGCATTTATATTTTGGTTGATATTTAGAAGTTAAACTCTTTTGCGGTTTTTTATTCAACCTCTTAGAGCAGACTGGTTTTCCCTGCATTTTTTCTGTCACCACGGGAAAAGATTTGTCTTCATTATTAGTTTTTAGACAAATGGACCTATTCTCGTTTATCAATTTTCTCTCTAATGGGTTGAGGTACCATTTATTTTTGTTGTAAAAGGATACAGTAGACACAGCAGATTTAAATGGTGAACCTTGATTTGCAGGTGGAAGTCTGTTTTTTTTAGTTGTTTTGAGTGGACTTGAAAGGAAATGGCCCTGTTGAGGGCAATGTACATTTTCTTCATTTTTATCACTGCTTTGGCAAATGTAATTTTGATCAGGTGATGGAAATATATTTTCAGCAAAGTCCAATATTAATTTCTTTGATGGAATGTCTGATAATAGGCTATGAAAAGAAACAAGGTCCAATTTTAAGTATCATTTTGCTTCAATTTTGTGCCAATCTACTGCTAAGTAATAAACAACCATACTTGTAGGTCATACTAAAAACAATACATCCTGTCTACCAAACACCCATCCATACACATTATCTATTAGTTTAACAATAGGATTCTCAAATTATGTCTTTACCAAAGCATTCAAATATTTTTCAAAAGTAAAGTCCCAATAATGCTTGCAAAAACAAACACTGTTAACAAAAAAGCTTTGATATTGTGTGTGTGCACGCGCTTTAAAACCTATTTCTAAGTTTTGGCCATATACTCAGAGCTCACCAGGCTTGACTGACTACAAGTTTCCTAAAATTATTAATTCTATGTAATAAACTGACCCCCTCAAGCCTGTTCTGTGGGGAGTAATTTATCTATTATGACATGGAGTAAGCACTGAGTAAACAGACTTTCTAGGATTGCTCACAGAAGAGTACTGTATGAAAAACACTATGTTAATTATTATATAAGAGAACAGAAAGGAGCAAGGTAATAAAAGATTTGACATACATTTCCAAGTCACAGAAAACAGCTCTTCCTGATTCTCTCCAAAGGCACTGAATAATTAATTTTGAAAGCTTACAGTATTTCCAGATTAGAATTAGAATATAAAATGTTACTATAGCCACAAGGAGTAGACAAGTGGAATGATGGAAATTTTAAGAAACAGAAGAGAGAATATAAGAAAGACAAGAAGGTGGATTTTTCTTTAAGAGTTTCTAACCACAGGATGAGACTCACTTGTCATAGTTCGAAGAATGCTGCTTCCTTTTTCTTGGAGTAAAAGCTGACATCTTCTTAACTGAACTCCTAAAAGCAATAGGAAAATTATAATAACCAAATTTATCCAATATGTACAAAAATCACTATATCAAAATTACACTTTCAGAGTCTGAAAAGGTTTTTTGATGGATGAGGTATTTTAAAAAGCAAATCACTTTGGGGCGCCTGGGTGACTCAGTCGTTGGGCGTCTGCCTTCCGCTCAGGTCATGATCCCAGGGTCCTGGGATCGAGCCCCGCATCGGGCTCCCTGCTCAGCGGGAAGCCTGCTTCTCCCTCTCCCACTCCCCCTGCTTG